TTTCTAACCCAAATACCTGTTAGGTGACTTATATTCCTAACAGAGGTACTAATTCCTGCGCTTTAAAACCAGCAATGAAAATACTGTTTTCCTGTCTTCTGCATAATGGAGCATTGACTTGATGCATCTTGGAGGCCCAAAGGACCAAAAAGGAGGATTATAAACTCCTTCCTTGCTTAATTTATATCAGAACCTCTATCCATTTTTTCCCTTTTCTTTTCTTCCTTGTGTTTTAGGATTCCACCAGTGTGGTTGCCTCGCTCTTTATAGAATACAAGCCTTCTCTGCTTCCTCATTTACCGGTCCAGCTGCACACCCCAAACAACGTCCTGATGATTGCAGTTTTCCCAAAGTCAGCCCTTTATAAAGCTTTCTATTCCCAGGTAACGTCAGTCGTGCTCTGGTGTCATGACCCTGTTGGAATCTGATTCGGAGGGGGAGGCCGAGCAGCTAACAGGGAGTGGGAGTCTGGCTCCATTGGCTGTGGAGGAAACTGGGGAAGGGCAAAGTCCGGCTGGGCAGAGGAGGGGGAGAGGTAGAACAAGGGAGAGGGAATTTGGAGGAAGACCCAGGCCCATCCCCTCTTCATCCTAGGGCATGCAGGGAGGAACAGAGAAGGGAGCAACGTGGGTTGCGTGGCTTATGGGGGAGGGAAGGGCCCTGATTCCCTTCACTAGCTGCAGCTGGGAACACAGGGTTTAAAAAGGGAAGTTGCACACAGCAAACTGTTGAGAGCAAATCATGAGTTATCTGTATTGTCAAGGCTTTTCTGAGTTACTGGCATCTTCCCACCTGTGTGAGTTTTGCCATGCTTTCAAGTCTGCAATTCCTTCTCCTGCCCTGTCAAGTTAATTACTGCAGAATGCTTTGTGTGGATTTTTAGTTACAGTTTGTATGTACTTTGTTTTCGGACTGAATTTCCTCCACTTAGAGGCTGTTCCTGGGAGAGTTTTTTCTCCAGCCCAGAATGTAACCAGGGCATTGGGGGCAAAGTTGGAGGTATTAAAGGGGACTCCTACTGATTATCTGGCTGGGTTGCCTTTGTGCCAAGCCTTGTTCAAAGCAAACAAATACCAAACAGAGATAAAAGCAAAACCATTTTAATGCTTCTCTGTGAATTCCGTTCATTCATAGTGAAACACTATTAAAAGCTAATTGTCCCAGAGAAGAATGAGCCTTGCCAAGGCTGTGCAAAGCTGCCAAGAACACTAAGATTAAATTGCAAGGAAATAATCAAAACCAAAAGTCTCCAACACAAACCAGGATAGTCCAAACATCCACCAGGCTTGAAGTTCAAGAACTTCTTTGCTTCCTGCAAAGAATCCCACCTCTGAGGGCTGGCTTTTATCCCTTAAGGGAGGGGCCATCACCTTGCAGCCTTACTCCTGAGTCGCCCGTGCTGCTGCAGCTGCTCTTTCCTGCGAGCAGGCCTGCGTGCAACCCTGCGCGCACGTGCCCTGGGCACAGGCTCCTCGGGGGCCTCTTCCTCACTGCTGCCAGCCTCCACAATCTCCGAAGGCAGCATTCCCCTCCCTGATGGTCCTGGCCCCATCCCTGCATCCCACGCAGGACCCTCACCCGAATACTCGCTCTCCGAGACCTCAGCCGTCCACGCCTGCTGCCGGCGAACCACAACACGTGTCTCCTTTGCTTTAGTGGAGAGTAAACCACCTGGGGGTACTTGCTTGCTCTCCTGGCAGGATGGAGAGAGAAGATGTGGAGGAATCTGCTGGCCCCTAATTATTAGGCAGTTTTTTTAAAAAAAATCCAAAAGTGTTGATGTGGATCTCTTGTAGTGGAGCATTTGCACCAAAGACAAATTCCTTGTGTGTCCAATCACACTTGGCCAATAAAAGAATTCTAATCTAATCAGCCTCCCGAACAAGTCCCATCTGCAGGCTTCATTTAAACAGTGATGCGCCCGGTGAAATTGTGTAAGTCGGATCTTCTTTGTCATTACAGGTTTTTTCCACCTGGCAACAGCCGGGAAATTCAGGAGTAACGTTAAAAATGATCCAGGACAATTGTCTGTCTGCAGAACAGGAGCGATTGTAAGCCAATGGCTTTTTTATTCCAATTCTTTTTTTTCTTAATTAATAAAGTTTTTATTTTTTAAGACAAACATATACAAACAATACATAAAAACATAAAACCACCTTCCGTTTTATATACATACAGTGTGTCAGTTGGTTACGAATCTTTTGGGGCAATCCTTTCATAGTCGTTGCTCACAGTTTATATCAATCTCACATTGTCAAACTAACATATGCTTATATAGTTATCAATTGTTAATCATCCATGACCAAACTATTTATTCCATCATTTTATATGAGATATCCCAGATTTTATTTTAAAATTTATATTGTGCTTTCATCCAATGGTTATATACGTCTACATTGTATTTTATATCAATCTATTAAACTTCTATAACAAAATTATCTATTCTATTATACTACCATGTCTTTTTATCCAGCCATTGATAAAACAAATCCCATATCATATATCTTCTTCTTCTCTGATTTCAAATGTCAATTTACTCATTTCAGCACAGTCCATAATTTTCTTGATAACTTCCTCCTGCATAGGTATTTTATCATTTTCACAGTTCTTCGCAAATACAATTCTAGCCACTGTTAAAACATTTACAATCAAATATTTCAGCTCTTTGTTGTACATTTCCGGTATGATTCCCAGTAAAAAGATCTCTCTTTTTATTCCAATTCTATGATTGCATGAGCAACATTGGAGAGAAAGCAGGGAGGGGGTCTGTGGGGAAAGAGTTGAAATAAAGACTTGATGTCCTTGTAGACTTATATCATGTTGACCATTAGTGTGTAAGGCAGGGATGGCCAATCCTGACCATTTTTAAGACCTGTGGACTTCGACTCCCAGAATTCCCCATGGGGCCAGCCAACTTTAAGACCTGTGGACTTCAACTCCCAGAATTCCCCAGCCAGCTGTGCTGATTGGGGAATTCCGGGAGTTGAAGTCCACAAATCTTAAAAGTGGCCCTGGTTGGACATCCCTGGCTTAAGGCATTGGGACCTAGTTGTGTCTTTACACTTTGATGTTGACGTGAGTTGTAAGGGCTAAACAATTCATTAGTGTCCTCCTTCTTAGACATTCCAACATGCAAAAGCTCTTTGAAGTCTCGTCCCATCCTGCTGGAGAACGATGGAACCAAGTAAGACTGCTTACCAGCCTTCCAGATCTGGCCAGGTGAGAGCTTCCCGCCATTCCTTGGTTCTGAGCCAAACTCGGATCATCCCATGGAAGTCCAGCTGGGTCACTTTTAATTGTATGATTGGGTAGGTCATCTGCGGCCCTCCCACCATTGGCTCAGCTGCAATTCCCAGCATCCTTGCTATTGTCTACGGCGATGTTTCTCAACCTTGGATACTTTTAAGAGGTGGTGGACTTCAACTCCCAGAATTCCTCAGCCAGCTGTACTGGCTAGGGAATTCTGGGAGTTGAAGTCCACACCTCCTAAAGTTGCCAAGGTTGAAAACCACTGATCTATGGAGATTCTCAATCATCCAGTTGTTTACTAAAAGGCAACTGGATTTTCTTGGCTTTTCCTTTGAAAACATTTCACTTCTCACCTGAAGAACTAAAGAAGCGTCTTGGATCAGAAGTAAAATGTTTTCAGAAGAAAAAAAAACTTTAAAAAGTCCAGGAAAGAAAGCACTTTTGGGACATCTGGGTCATTGGTCCTACTTTTGGGAATATTTGGAAGCTGTACTTATGAACAAGATGCCTCTCTGTGCTGTATGAAGATCTCTTTCATTGAATGAGTGGGAATTTTCTGGAATTGTACCGTGAAGTTTTCTTTACTTGAGTTAACTCCAAAAGCCCAGGTAGATTTTTTTGCAAAGAACTTGGAGTTGTTTTGCCATGATCTGCGTTCCACATGCTTTCCCAGATTGCCTCTCATTCCAATATTAACGAGATACGCCAGATGAGCTTCTTTTGATCAATCAGGGTTCACTAGATGCTTCATGTTTGGGTCGGACCCGGTGTTTCACAACCTTGACAACTTGAAAATGGGTGCATTCCCAACTCCCAGAATTCAGCTAACTGGACAATTCTAGGAGTTGAAGTCCACCCAAGTCATCAAAGTTGAGAAACATTGGTTGGGCAAAGTCATTAGAGTATGAAAACTTCTCAGATAGTTCAGTTCCATCGTGGCTGGTCTGCATGGACATAAAGCAGGTCTTCAGAGGATTCCCTCCAGCGCATTTCCAAGAAAGAAAAAAAATAGACTGAATGTGAGGACAGTGAAGTGGAGTAATTCTGACTCTGCTTATCCCTTCAAAGTTTTCTACAGCACTTTACCATTGGTAGCGTCAGCCAAGAACCAGTGATGAGGTGGCATCTGCCAGTTCTTCTGCAGCAGACTGAGGACATTCCTAATAATGAGAAAGAGAATGATAAGGTAAGGTCATCACTGTAGATTGTGCATTTGCTTTTCAGCTCCCCAAGTGGCTGTTTCGCTTTACGCGATTTACAATATTTCTATGTCCTTCTGGTTTCAACTACTGAGTCATACAGAGTCACAGGGGTAATTCGGTTTATTCAAGGTCAAGAGATAACAAAAGAATGCAAACTAGAAAAGAGTCTCAGATGCTGGTCTGAATGATTGGCTTTTAAAAAGGAGCGCATGGAAGAATAGTCCAAAATCAGTCCAAAGTTCCGAAAGCAGGATCAGGATTATCAGCCTGTCCAGAGGTCAGAAGTTCAAGGTTTCTTTGTCGGAACGGGATTCACAGGAACATCACGCAGGCGCTGAAGTTCAGATGTTGTTTCCAGCAAAAGGAATATGAGTCAGAGCTGCCTCTTAGATCAGGCTGCAGATCAAGAGATTTATTCCCTTGCTTGGCATCTCCGCTCTGCGGTCCTCTCTACCTGTGTGTGTAGGACTAGGACCTCATCTTCGTCTGACTGTTCCAGCAGTCCCGGTGGCATTGTTTTCGATCTGCCTTGTGGCTTGTTGACTCGATGTCTCCTGAGACTGATATTCCACAGGTTCAGCTGGAGCGGCTTCTTCAGATTTAGAATCCCCAAGTCCTGAGCTTAAATCACGATAGTCCACAACTATTTTTCCCCCCCAAAAAAAGTAAGACAGTTTCATAACCTTAACCTTCCTTTCTCTTTTGAGGTGACGATTACCATCCTGACGGGCCTTCCTGGATGCCAGTCAAGCGAGCTGTGCTCATTCTTGGTCACGTTTAACAAAGAATA